AAGGAGCAAGCGCTGCGCGCGCCGCCGCCGAGCCAATCAGCCACCGTTTGCCGGGGCCGCGCGACGCCCGCCGCCGCCCGTCACTTCCGCCGCTGCGCCGCCTCTCGCGAGAGCTGCCGTCGCTATGGCAACCGCCGCCTTTCCCTCCGCCCGCCCGGAAGTGCCGACAAGGCACAAGGGAGGCCCTAACAGCGCGAGAAGCCGTGACTCAGCAGGGCTGGGGCGGGGGGGCGTGGCGGTGGCGTCACGATGGCGTCACCCCGCCTCCCCGTGTCGCGGTGCCCTCAGCGCGGGCCTGCTCGCCCGTGTGCCGAGGTTTAATTCCTTTCCCATCCCTGCAGGAGCTGAGGCGGCGAAGCGACGCGGCCCTGAGCTGCTGCGGGCGGGATGTTTGTCTCCAGCATGCCACGAAGGAAACCCTTCCGCCTGTCATGGGTGGAGACGCGTTATGTATTCCCTCGCTGCTTAGTCAGAAACTTCAAGTTCTGTTGAAATCCCATTCCTTGCAATAAGCACGATGCCTCCGGTGCGAGCGAAAGCAGAATACGCACTGGAAACGTCACACGTTTTCCCTCCTAACCTCACTGTGACGGTTACCATCACCTACAGCCCAGCTGCCAGTTCTGCTCCTTCCTCCACGCCGTGACCTTCCCCGCATCACCTCATCTCTACAGCTCGTTTGCCCTGTCCGTGAAACAAGGGCAATACATTCCACTGGAAAACATTCTGGAATTGAAAGATGAAATATTTTGGAACCGCTAAGCCGTATTATTGCCGTCGACCAAAATCTTTTCTCTCCCAGCTCAGCGGTTGCCTAATCCTGTTAGTCACACTCAGAGGCCTCCCCCCTCTTTAGCAGCTTTAATCCCCGCAGTGTTTTTTGACCAGGGCGATCTTTGCTCCCACGGCAGAACATACAGACCTTCGTGGTGTGCTGTCACCGCTTCTTTTGGGTCCGGGTGTTGACTTTAAGGGTTCCCGTCACCCGTGGGGACAGAGCTGTGTCACATCGAGTGAGATCCCGGGCAGAGCGTGCCCCCTCCCCACGGACTGATAGAAATGGGTATATTTTATGTCAAGGCTTAGCTGCAAAAATCACCACGTTCTGCACGCCCCCACGCCACGCACACGTGCCCCCCCCGAGACCTGCCTGCAGGCAGGGGCGGGCAGAGGGGGGCGTCGGCAGGGGACGGGGGAGAGGGAGGGTCCCCAGCGGGCAAGGGGAGGTGGAGCGGCGGCCTGGGGTGCCCCCGGGGCTGGGAGCTGGGGC